TTTAGGATAATGGGAAGATGTAGGTTAGGAACCATTTAATTGCAAAGTGCTTTCAGACACGCTGGTTGGGGTGGGGGAGTGGGGGTGGGAGGGAGTCTCATTTGCTGAGAGAGCTTCCTATCTGCCAGGCCTTTGCGTGTGTCATTCCACTACACAACGAGGCTGCAACCACGGGCTGCACTCATGGCCTCAGGCGCAGAAACCTTGGCGAGGCTGGCGCAGGACCCAGCACGGTTTGGCTCTGTGGTGCTCAGGGTCGTGCTACGGGTTAGAGCCAACGCTACAGCACCAAACAGTGACAACACCGTGAGGGGAGTATTTGCAGTCCCTTTTTACAGATTCGAACACAGAGGCCCTAAGAATAGTGGGTGCCTGGGTCCAGGTGTTCTTCCGGAGGTACTGTGCCCTGGGAGGCTAGGCTGTTTGGGAAAACTCAGCTCGTCCCGCATGACCGTTGGGCGGCGGCGTTGGGCGCAGCATCAATGGGAAGTCCCAGCAGAGCCGGGAGGAAGGGAAAAGAGGGAAGCCAGGCTGTGGATTCCTCTGTCTCTCCTCTGAGGCCATCCTGCCTCTCACGGTGGCCAACTCGCCCCAAGACTGTCCCCATCCAGGGCCCCGCCACTACGCCCATCCTTATCTCCTTGTGCCCCTCAGCTGCTCCGGCCCCTGCAGAAAGCACTACCCTTCGCAAGCCCTCTGCAAACCCCCTGCAATTTCAAAGTGAACACCTGTTTCCTGTGGGGACCCCGGCCGCACCTCCTGAGCTCACCCAGCTGAGCTCACAGGTGGCAGAGCCAGGGTCAGAACCCCTCACAGTCGGGATGAGCTGGTTTGCAGAAGCCCAGTGGGAGGGTCACGGCAGGGGCCCGCTGTGTTAACCCAGCCACTCTTGCACCCCCCACCCCTGCCCACTGAAGACTGGGTGCCAGATGGCAGACCCTTAGAGCTGGTTTCCCAGTTGTAGCATTATTTGGAGTTCCTGGGTGGTGTGGAGGGCACTTGGTAGCTCACAGAAAGGTTGGCAGTTCGAGTGCGCCCACAGGCACCTTGGGAGAAAGGCCAGGCAAGCTATTTCTGAAACGTCAGTGCCTGAAGTCCCCCAGGTGCAGTTCTCATAAGCACACAGGCTGCGGAGCGGGAGCAGCCATGGGCGGTCAGCGTTTGTTGTATGGCGTTTTTATGGTGATGGGAGAAGGTTAGTCTTTCTCAGACAACTGCAAGATAGAAGGGGGTTTGACCCAACTGAACTTGGTGTGGGTGACAAGTAGGCCTTTGTGTGCGGCTGGCGTGGGGCTCTCGGGGGGCCACAGCCTGGCCTGACGAACACAGAGGCTGGACTGCATCGGGGCTGCAGCTTCACTCATGCTTTCTCATGTGCGTGCGCAGACGCAGCCTCCTACTCGGCGACACGCCATCCCCCAGACTGAAAGCGGTGGCCGTTAGTGGGGCATCCTCACTCACTGGCTGGGGGAGGGACTGCCCAGCCTGACCCCTGCCGGGAGACGTCCTTGCAGAATGCAGAGGGCAAACTCCCCAGCTAAGGTCATATCCGGAGAAGGAATTCAGACACCCACCAGTTAGGGTTCCGGAACCCTGGCCCCCACAGCAAGGGCCCCAGCACGCCCCCATTCAGTGCCTGGAGGAGAGATGGGGCTGCTGGGGGTGAGGGTGACAGTGTGTGTGGCTTTGTGTGTGACCACGCCTGGGAGTACGTGTGATCCTGTGTGTGTGTATGATCATGTGTATGAGTGAGTGTGACCCCGTGTGTGTGACCATGTGTGTGAGTGTGTGACCCTGTGTATGACCGTGCATGTGAGTATATGTGGCTATGTGTGTGAGTGTGCGTGACACTATGTATCAGTGTGTGTGACCATGTGTGTTGGAATATGGCTATATGCAACTGTGTGTGAGAGAGAGAGAGAATATGCGTAATACATTTGTCACATCTGTGATTCCGTTCTTGGAAACATTTTTCAAACTCATCTGCTTGGATGGCTGACAGCACCTCCCTGGTTTTTTCCTTTACCTGTTCTACATTGTTAAATCGCTGTCCTTTCATGTCCCTCTTCATTCTTGGAAACAAAAAAGAAGTTGCTCAGAGTGAGGTCAGGTGAGGAAGGTGCATGGGGCAAGAGAGCATGCTGGCTTTTTCTCCAAAAAAACTGGTGCACTGAGATGGCTGTGTGATCCGGTGCATTGTCGTGGTGGCAAAACCAGTCCCGTCTGCCACAATTCAGGCCTTGTTTTTTTGATACTGTTACACAATTTTTTCAGAACCTCTAAATAGAAAGCTTGATGAACAGTCAGATCTGGTACAATGAACTCCAAATGTACTATAAGTCTACATTTCCATCCATTAGGGAAGTTGATGGACGCCCAGAATGAGGTTTGTCATCAATCGACATTTCACCTTTTTGAAACCGGAAAACCACTTACACACTTCAGTCTTCCCCACAGTGCTCTCCTTGTAAACTGTGTTCAACATCACAACAGTTTCTGTGGCATTTTTCCCGAGCCGGAAACAAAATTTCACAGCTGCATGTTGTTCTCTTAAATCGACTATCACAGAAAACGAGGTTCAAGAAAAACTGCTTTCACGAAAATTCATTATGGCTAGACAGAAACTTCCCAGGTGATGCCACTGGGTGCACTAACTCAGAGTGAGCTGTTCGATGCTCACCTCACCTCACCTAGTAGGAAAAATGTGTCCTATGAAAGCTCTTCTCCGCCCAGCACAATTCCAGTTTTTTTTGAGGGGGGGCACCCCCTCATATGTGTGTGGCTGCATGTGACTGTGGATTGTATGGGTATGCCTGCATGTGTGTGACCGTGTGTGTGCAGTTGTGCCTGTGAGTCTGGTTGTGTGTGGATGTGTGGATGGCTCATGAAGGTGCCCAAGTAAGAGTGCTGTAGGCTGTAGTTCAGCTCCAGGCCCCCTCTCTCCTGGGTTTGAGAAATGGCTTTTGACTGCAGACCAGAGTCCCTGGGGGCAGGGCCCAGGATGGCTCTTCCCTGAGTCCCCAGGGTGCCCAGCACAGTGTCTGTTAATTAATTCCGTGAATGAAAGTGTGAGCGGAGCTGCCAGTTCCAGGGCTGACTGTCACCGAGGTGGTTCATTGATGTCAGACACGCTCAGGGCTTTTCTCTCTGCCAAAAGCATTTCCCCTCCCAGAAAGGGGCCAAGCTTTTGTGTTCTCTGACTTCG